ATCCTTCTGAGCCATTATTCAGACAGACCTAGATAGGATCAGTGGCTGGGCAAGTCTGAATAATTTAAAGCTAAACGCGATGAAAACTCATGCCATTATTATAAGTTCCAGTTCTCTGCTCAAACCATCTCCTTCCTTCCTCCTATCAACGATTATCCCATCACATTCAGCTTCTCCGTTCAAATCGTAGGAATCATCATTGACGAAAACCTCTCCTGGAAATTCCATATCGCCCTTATCTTCCGAAAGTCAATAGGTACCCTTAAGTCATTTCATCGCTCCCGCCACCTACTCTCACATCCTATCCGCAAGCTCTTTGTATCCTCTTTTATTTTTCCCCACTTTGACTACGGCTGTATGGTGTAAGGAGGCATCCCGATGGTATTGGAGGATAGATAGAAGCGAAATTATGAATTCCTGCTTAAGATTTGTCTTCGTTACATCGAGGCGGTCTCATGTGTCTTACCTTTACGACGAATTAATTTTTTATTTTTTTTATTTTTTTATTAGACATATAATATTCTGTCACAGGGACAATAATTATATTGATAAATAACACATTCACACCGTATATTCAAAAAAGAAATAAAATTAATAAAAGTAAAATAATAATAAATAAAAACTATATACAATAAAAATAAAATAAAATAACCTAAATATAAGTAAACTAAAAACATAAAAATACAGTCATACTTATATACAATATATACAATCAGGCGGGGAACAAATCCCTGCGCTACTCTCTCAACCACCACAACGGTGCTAAAGCCGACGACGAATTAAAGTGGCTATTCCCTTCTTCTCGCCGACAATATTTCCTTGGGTCTTTCCTATTCCAAACTATCTTCGACCTTTATATCCCTTCCCATAGAACTAAGACATTTGAATATTCCTTTATTGCCCAATCCACATCCTTCTGGAATTCGTTGCAATCTGATATCCGCCATGCCTCTTCCTTGTTTTCATTCAAATATCATCTCCACCAATTGCTTCTCACATCCCAAAATGACGTTGTACAATGAAATAAATATTTTGAATCCAATTTTGACTGTGGTGAATGTTTGTTAAAATTGTTTGAGAATAAATCCCTAGTCCTTATAACATTTAGTTTTTTATTTTACCTGATTGTAGTTTTCTTTTCATTTAAATAATGTTTGTTTTTTTGCAAAATTGAATTACTTTTTTATTCGTTTTAATAAAAATTCACTGAAGATATTGTACATATTATTTGATAAATGTAATTTTTGGCCAGAGGTGGTTTTTATTTTTTGTTCATAATTGTTATTCTTACGGGGCCTCGTCCTAGAATTAAGTTTATTTTCTATTCTATTATATATCGTGTGTTTCATGGTTAAGTGACCAAACCGCAAAAATATAATAAGGACCTCAAAACTAGAAAAAAATTACCTTTTAAAATATGTCCGCAAACGCTTTGTTTAGGAGATATTCACACGTAAAGATTTTCGTTGTTGTGAATTATTTACGTTATATGAAATAAATGAAACATATTTATTTTTTTTTAATGTAAACATTAACATTCATATTAAACGTGTTTCATATATATATATATATATATATATATATATATATATATATATATATATATATATATATATATATATATATATATATATATATATATATATATATATATATATGTGTGAATTATTATTCTGTTTAAACAAATATATAATGATAACTAGAAAATAAAATACACACGTAGAAAAAAAAAGGAAGGAATAAAAGAAATAAATCAATTAACAATAAGACACGTCGAGCTCCTTGGATGACAGCTTGGATTGATAAGACGACGCTGACATTACTGGAGCTGGCGTGGCAACTGCAAGTCGTGGTCTGCAATGAGATAAGCCGTTCGGAGCCGCAAGCACACCGATTGGTTTATATCTTTGTCCTGGCAAAAATCCTCGCTCTATTTTTGCAAAATTCCAGAAGCCGGTCTCCAGCACCCAGCTCCACTCACTTTTAAATTTTCATCTCAATCGGACGAAAAAAAACACCATAAAATGACACCAACATGGAACCGATGTGTCTCTATCACCGGATCCCATTATCTATCCTATCTATACTATAGATACTATCTATTCGCATTATATGAAGTGCCACTTTATATCAACGCTGAAACACATAATTCTCAAAGACACTCGAGATTTTGATTAAACTCTTTGTATGATTGTATAATTAAGTGGTCTTTAATATAATTTAGGTCTTATCCAAATTGATGTCACTTTACACTGATGATATGCCCAATGTTCATTTGAGTCTTCTAATTTATTATTTTTAATCTAGGTTTATTTTAAATTATTAACAATCTCACATTATTAAGAGTTACAAAAGAAAATGTTAAATACAACTTTTGATAGAATTTTATAAATTAATAAAGGAGAAAAAAAATAAAAATGCTTATCCAGGTTGACCTCCCAAGTTGGCATTGACAGACTATAGCTTTTAGAATTTGGGCGGATGCACGGTCATTTGGCCAAGATGGCCACAGAAAAGGGTCACAGGATACTGTAACTCATTGGTCAAAGCGAGTGTGCTTAATTGGAAAAAGATGTGACTGAAACCAAGGCTACAGCAATATTCAAAGAATTATATTTAAAAAGGCTATTGTCTTTTATCTTACGTATAATATATCGTTTTAAAGCTGATAATTTTCGAGAGAAAAAAAAACAGTATTTAATATAGAAATTTGTAGAAGGTAACGGAGAGTGGCGAAAAAATTATAAAAAATAATTTCAGAAAACTAACACTGTGACGAAAAAGAAAAAAAAAATTAGTTCGTAAAATAATTGTTACTTTTACCTCGAAGAGGCTTAGCTAAAAATAAATTATTTTTAAGTATTAGTTTTAGATATTACCAGTGACGCGGTTGGGAGAGTAGCGCAGGGTTCTCCTGGAGTTCCCTCGCCTGATTGTATATAGGTATCCATGTGTTTTTTTTTTCTTAGTTTTAATTTTCTTATTTTTTAGGTTATTTTATTTTATTATCTATTGTATGTACTTTTGATTATTATTTTGATCTATGTATTTTATTTTTTTGTACATATAGTGTGAATGTCATCCTACCTCACTATAACCAATGTCCAAGAGACAGATTGTTATAATACTCAATAAAGAAATTAAAAAAAAAAAAGTTTTAGATATTAATTTTAAGTCAGTATAACAGCCGACATATGAGGGAGAAAAACAAAAGACTGTTAGAGAGAGAGAGATGGCGGAACCTCTGAATTTCTCTTTTCCTCTCCGAGAACCTGTGATTATCAGCGACGAGTGCCGTTTGATTTTAGAAGTTGGTAAATGAAAATGTTCACAGCTTGAGGAGATAGACTGGGGAGACACTGACGACGCTAGCTGGAATAAGTTCTCGCTTCCTCGGATAACTCAATGTGCCCATTGGACAAAGTTCGGCATTGAGATTTTGTAAATATATACATATAAGTTTTTATTTCCTATCTCTTTTCTTTTCGATATTTGTAATTGTTTTATTGTATACTCTGAGTTAATGTTTAGTTCTACAATAATTTTAAATTATTTTTTTATAATTATAGTTAATAAAATCCACCGAATCAAGACATATGCCATTTTACTTTTCTGAAAGAAGATGTGAAATATAAAAATACTTCAAGGATATGTTTATAACCTCTAATATATGTACTATGGAGTATTAACTCTAGATAAGATATTTAAATAATTAGGTATCTGTCGGTCGTTTATTTCAAAAAACCATAAAGTAATCTTTCAGAAAATTAAGTTAGTGAATAATTTGATCAACTTTCCCGTTGTGAAATCCCAACATCATTATCCAATTACAATTAGTTTGACAACTTTTGACCTATCCATGACAGGCAATGAAAATCTTGTAATTTCCTTTTAGTAAACTTTACAATGGAAAATAACAGTTTAATAACTAATATTCCTACAATCCGTAATCATTTATAGGTTAAATATTCAGATATACTTTCATACTTCTCTAGGCACATATTTATTCTGTCAACCGAAAGGCTCAGAGACTGAAGTTGTGTGGTTTATAAAAGTAGATGGAGTGTCTCGAGTTTTATTGCCTACCCTCGATATAATAAATAGACTCTTTGTAATTTCAATGGTCTTAATGATTTGTTATCTGTAAGCTTTAAGCTTTAGCTCCGTTTAAAATGCACTTCAAACATTTTATAATAGCCTAGAATTGCCATAAAATAATTTCTATTCAAAGTAGAGCGGTAAGTGAAAGTTGTGTGTTGCGCGCAGCAGATGCATTTTTTTAAATATTGTTACTTTCAATCGTAGTGTGTCTTCTTGATGATTATTCTTCAAATCTTAATTTATTTTTAAAAATCAATATTATGCTGGTTATTTAAGTCAGGTGAATGACATTAGTATAAATGATTATTCGATTGAGTACTGCTAAGGATATAATGAAAATAAACACAGGCTATCAATTTTTAAAACACAATCAAAATCGGGATACATTTAAGTTAAAATTACGTGATATTGACAGAGTTATTTCATATCAGCTTCTTTTTGAGGCGAGTCTTTACCTCAATATTTCTCATGTTTTCTCTAGCATGGACCATCATGTATGATCTTCCAATCTGAAAAAGAAATTAATAACACATTAGTGTAATTTATAAGTTTCAGGGAAATGGTTGTTGTTGAGAACTTTATTTAAACTGCTCCCAAGTTGGAACAATTGACTTAAGGATTTATTTTACTTAAGAATAAGGAAGTTATTCGTTATACGTTGTTATCAGTAGATCCGAAAGACCAATAATTTGAGCCGAAACGTTAGCATTCAATAAATAAATGTTTTTAAAATATTAGTCTTTGACATCCCTTTGAAATGTGGATGTCTGATTTACGTTTAAGGTCAGCGTTCCTTGGGATTTTTATGCCAACTAAGAAAATTTAATTCACGGAGTTCTAAGAGTTCTAATTTGATTCCATTGATGTTATAATATGTGATTCCAACTTTTTTTTCTTACCTTCTCCACATGCCACCCTGCTGTCGAGAAAACAATTGTTTGAAAAAGTTTCAGTTTTGCTCTGGCGCTCAGACCTAGCACAAATAGGTATGAATTCTAATGTGCAGAGTCTTTTGGACATGCAGCTGCTATCTCCGACTGCTAATCCTATGAAACCTGAAAATTTATTGAATAATGAAAAAATATTACATTATATAAATGCCACTTATAATTAAAATTAATCAGAGCTATTAAAAAACTAAAGTACCCGAGTGAAATCTCTCAAATTTGATAATCAACACTCCGAAGGTCGCTAGTCTTAGGCATTAGTTACATGAAACGTCGCTATGGATCTATGAGATCCACTAAATCAATTTATTGATCAAAAATACCAACAAACTTCTCATTGCACTGAATGAAAGAGATATTGGTTGACTTTTTTAATATATCTATTGACTAAAAACACAGTTACATAATTTAAAAAATTATTAAAAATAAAAACGAAAAATACGTAGACAAAATTAGGAACTTGAACATTAAATTCTGTATACTAGAAACTAGAAACTACTGAATATACCGGATATATAATTATTTTTTTCAAGAAACTTCTAATGTCGTATTGATGTGCTGAGGTAATCGAATATGCTGTATAAAATAGATAGGATATATTTTTGTAATAAGCTTTCGTTACATATCATTTACATGCATTAGATAACACATTTTAGTGAAATGCCCCTTATAACTCTAAAATAATAATACTCACAGGCAAGATAAAGGACGAAGTAGCCGAGCTGCATTTTGAACAAGGAATGTCGACACGCCAAGCGAGGCTCCATTTATAGTTGAGCCGCCATTGGTAATGAGCCTTCTTGACCTTGAGGCATATTACAAAGTAGAAAAAAAAAATCTGTACCACTACAACTCATAAAGGATCTGGGGTTCGGTACTATTTAGGGAAAGCACTGTTTCTAAGTCAACGGTTGTGCAAGGAGGTGATTTGACCGAGATCAAGCTCAACCGCCAGGTTTTCCCCCTTAATCAATTATTTAATTAAGGGTACCCACTTTATAGAGGCTGGGTGTGCCCCAGGAGGAACTTCCAACCCAGGGTCTCCCAACGGCCAATGAAACAGATAAATATATTTTCTGCCATGAGACCTTTGCATTGGAAGCTCAGTGCCCTACCACTGAGCTACCCCACTCCCTATTACAAAGTAGGGATGGGCAAAATTGTACTCTGAGTAAAAAGTACAAATTACAGAGTAGTTAATTCAATTACTCGGCCGGTTCAACTACCGAGTACTTTAATCACTACTCGACTTCATGATTGACGAGTACAAAAAGTAATCAGCTGTCCTCGTGAGTACTTTCTACTTTCAAATCTACTCAGCAATATCTTACTCCGAGTACTTTTCAAAGTAATCGAGTACTTAATTGTAAAAATTACAGTAGAATATTTAATATTTCTTCCACATTTAAGTCCACTGCTATTTTATGGGGGTGTAGTTTTTCAAAATAGTATCGATATTAATGTAAATCGATTAAATAAAGAATTGTTCAAATATTTTGGATTTATTCAACTTTGGGAACCATTTTTTTTTTCCTACATCACTTGACTTATATGATAATAATGTCGAATTTGAGATAGTTCCCCAGGGGCCCGACTTTTTGTAACTTTTCTGATTTAATCGATATCAATGTTGATTATTAGGTTTTGTTGGAAACTTTTTATGAAAATGATGTCGGATTTTTTTTTATAAAATGCGTCCCCTAAAACACAATAGACGGGGACTAATTCCTAGAAGTGAACCCACTGGGTGCAATCTCAAATCCGACAGTATTTTCATAAAAAGCGTCTTCCAAAGCTTAATTGTCGACCCTGATGTCTATTAAATTAGAAAATTGCCCGTGGGCACTATCTGAAATCCGACATCATTTTCATAAAAAAAAACCCTCAAAACCTAATAATTGACCCAAATATCGATTAAATCTGAAATGTTACAAAAAGTAGTGGCCCGAGGGCAGTATCTCAAATCCGTCATCGTTTCCATAAAAGCGCCCCCCAAAACATAATAGTCGACCCTGATATCGATTTAATCCAAAAAGTTAAAAAAAAGTCGAGGCCCAAAACTAAAGATATGGTGATAAAGGCCGATGGAGTTCAGCAAGGAGAAAGTTCCACAGGAATAGACCCATACAAATTTCATAAATTGCAGGAGTTTACTTGCCTCGGGTCCCTTATGACGTCAACCTTGAACATGTTGAAGGAAATAGGAAAGAGGACAGCAGCAGCCAACTGTTGTTATTGTGGCTTAAGGAGGTAGATAGATTATTTTAATTTTTTTCTATTTTGTTATTCTCAAGGGACTGTGTCCCAGAATAAAGTTATTTTTCTATTCTATTCTAGATCCCTAGCCAGTACCATACGAGGCAGACTAAGGCAAGACTATACAAACCTTTGCTTAGGCCGGTGTTGAACTATGCCTCGCAAACATGGACTATAGCAAAGACAAATGAGAATAGTCTCCTTATATTCGAACAGAAAATTTTGCGACGAATATACGACCCTGTGAAAAAGCGAAAGTTTGGATGAGACGAAGAAACCGGGAGTTATACGCTCTCTATAATGAACTATTATGAACAGATTTTTCAGTAACATAATAGTTTCCGGTGACTTTAAGGCCAATCTCCTTTCTGATTCCCACGATAAACACTACCTGGAAAACTTTTTCTACTCCCTTAACCTCATTATAGTACCATTTGCTCCTACTCATCACGCTTGCTGGTCTGTTACATGGCTGGACCTGTTTATCATCGATTCTGCACAGAACCTTTTGTCCTTGTCCCAACTACCTGTTCCTTTCCTCTCTTCACATGACCTCATCCAACTATCATACAATACCCAGACCCCTGTGATCCTTCCTAAAACAATAACCTTCCGCAATATAAATTTCCGCAATATGCTAACCCGAGAAAGCATCTTGGTGAAAAAAACAACACTGAATTGGAATTATGTTTACACCAGCTCCTCAGTTGATACCATGGTAGATATCCTGACTTCTAATCTCCTCCATATCCTCAATACCCATGCCCTACTTAAAACCTCTACATTCCGCCGCCAACCTGCTCCTGCCAAGAAATTCGAAATATGCAAAAGAGACGTGAGGCAGCCCGTAGACGCTTTAGAAGAACCAGGCTTGCAGATGACTACGAAGCGTTCAGGGTAGTCCCTAACTTGACTCAAACAATGATCAGGCAAGTGAAAACCAATTACTTTCATGGAGCCTTCTCCTCTGCTCCCGATTCTACATCCAAATGGCATTTACTCCGAAAGCTGTCTCTTTGCAAATCATCTTCCTCCACAACTGTCACAGTCTCTCCTGATGCTTTAAATCCCTAGTTTTTATCCTCCTCTTCTAGTAATATTTCTCCCACCTCTTCCCATATTTCTGTATCATCTGCATTTAATAATGACAATTTTTACTTTTCCTACATCACTCCCACGAACCTTATTTTCTCCATAATGAAATCCCAATCCGACTCTATAGGAATTGACGATATACCCGTCAAACTTTTAAAATTATGCCTCCTGAAATCCTTCTAGTTCTTCTATTCATTTATAACTTTTACCTTCAAAATTCTGTTTTTCCTACATCTTGGAAAAAAGCCTTAGGCCGTCCTATTAACAAAATCTCTAACCCCACCTCTTCTAAAGACTATCGTCCAATTTCCATCCTTTCAAATCTGTCTAAACCCCTCGAAAGAATAGCCCAATCCCAAATTTCCAATTTTCTTGAAGAGTTCAAACTTTTAGATCCTCTCCAATCTGGCTTTCGCCCGGGCTTCTCCACTCAATCCGCTTTAGCCAAAATCACTAACGACATACATACTGCAATTGACGAAAGAAAACTGACTGTATTAGTACTTCTGGACTTCTCCAAAGCATTCGATTCCTTAGATCATTCTATCCTCTTCACTAAATTAAAATATCTATCCTTCTCCAATAGTTCTATCCTATGGTTCCAATCCTTCCTTTCTGACAGGACTCAAGCTGTTAGTATTCCGAATCGACCCTTATATTCTTTCCTCACTTGGTCTCATGGAGTAGCCCAGGGTTCAAGCATTTCTCCTCAGGGGGCAAGCTTGAATAAATTTAAGTTAAATGCAACGAAAACTCAGGCCAATCTAGGTTGGTGTTGACCTATGCCTCGCAAACATGGACTATGACAAAGACCGATGAGAATAGTCAATATAACCGGACTATCCAATCCGCAGCCTCGCTGTTGGTCCTTGAAATAAATTTAATTTTAATAAGGTTAGTTAATTAAGTTTTGAGATACAGGTTTTCCAAGTTCACCCATTTCAAAGAGCATCCGTCTGGAAAAAATTGTAAAAAATAACACCTTCAAAATTACAACAAAAAAAAGCAAAGAATGGATTTTTTTTTTTCAAATTTCCCCCTTGCAGCAACCGGAACAGCATTTTGACCGCTATCCAGCCATTGCGTATTCGGATTTCGCCAATAAAAACACTTTTTATCACAGGTAGTGTTGCCCAAACGCAAGACCAAGACCAAGACCGCCTCGGTCTCATCTTTGTCTTGAGTCAACGAACCTTGGTCTTGGTCTTGCGCACTTAGTCTTAGTCTTGCGCAAGAGTCTTGCAGTTATCTATCAGCTTATTGCTATTTATTAATATGGTACTTTAAATAACAAAATAACAACAATTAGATGTTTTATTGACATAAGTATTGGAAAGTACAACTAAATCAATAGAATTAAGAATAAAGATAGATAGTGATAACCCTACTCCATCCCTCCGATTATATGGAATTGAAGAGTTGTAGAGTAAAGACAAATTATAAATTGTTCCCAATGATTTTAATTAAAAATCTATTGTGTCCACGTACAAGACTTTCCTATATATTTAGAAAAAAATACAACTTTAAACGTGTCTATTAGAAAAAAAACAATTGGAATAGATTCATTTTCCTAAAAATTAATGCACTCAGCGGTACCAAATGGATATAACACTTTTTATGTTCTTCTGTGAACTAAAACTACCAATAGCCAAGGTCTTAGGGAATATGTACAATATAGCCTGAATTTGGGTAATCAATAATTTCAGTTTTCACAAAATTATTATAAAATCTTTCTTAATTTCCTCTAAAATGCTTTTCCACTTTTCAGAGGATAGAAATATGAAAAAAAAACAACATTTATTTTGCTCATCGGGAACCATTTCACTGTTTATGTAATTTTGGAAGTTCCATGGCAATTCTGTGCATTCCTTCTACTGCAAATTTTTAGATCCCATCCATTCTTTGAAAATTGTTTGAAAACCTTCATTGAAATGTGTACATCAATAATTAACAAACCATTGACTTGAGGCCATTTGCAATTAATATTTTTCGACATTTCTCAATACCTGTTACTCAAAGGTAAACTTGAATCATTAATTAAATAATTAAATTATTAGTAAATTATAATAACTATTATGACCGGAATAACAATAAACGTTAGTGTAGTACTATGTCATAAGTTATACAAAATAAAATACAAAAGGAAAGATAAAAAATCGGTAGGATGTACAGTAAAAAAACTATCAATTATAAGAGTGAAGAACTATAAGGAAAATACAGAACAATTCATGGACGATAATTGACCGGTATGAGTAAAAAAAAAGCGTTTACAAAATAAGCTAAGAAAAAATAATTTCATACTGAATTTTATGTTGAAGTTTTGAATCCTGTTTCATGTACAAGTATACAAAAAAAATATATATATTAATTTGTTCGCTAAAAGTCTAATATTATTTTATCATTTTTCGAGGAACCAGTTTACAGTAGTTAAACCCAATTTAAA